AATGTCTTCTCTCTTTCTAAGGTACAACAGGAATGGAGAAGATCTGAACAGAAATTTTCCTGATGCTTTTGAAAATAACAGCGTCAGGATTCAGCCAGAGACTCGAGCAGTAATGGACTGGATAAAAAAAGAAACGTTTGTTCTCTCAGCAAATTTGCATGGGGGTGCCCTGGTTGCCAGTTACACCTTTGATAATGGTAACCCAGGTAAGCTGGGGAAAAATTCTCCCACAACTGACTGGGTTTAGGAATGTTGGCTGTACCAAAGCAAAATTTATAAGGGTTCCTGCAAAGTTCTTCTAGCTTTTGAGCTGGGATGGGCAGAATTTGATAAATCCCATCAAAATTCACTGCCTAATATGGCCTTTTGGGACATGTTTATCCTGCATGTAAGCCAACACTGTGTGTTTTACCAGTAATGAGAGTTGCACCATGGCTGTCTTCACTCTGCAGTTACTGGCTCCTTGGAAGGCTATAGCAAATCTCCAGATGATGATGTCTTTATTCACTTGGCAAGAACCTATTCTTCCAACCATGCCAGCATGTACAAAGGGACAGGGTGTGACAGCAGGCAAACCTTTCCAGAAGGCATTACCAATGGGTACTCTTGGTACCAGCTGGAAGGTAAGAATGTCATTGATGTTTTGTTCAGCTGCTCCCAGTAAGATGTTTTCTCACTTTCTCTGCCATCTCTGATGATGAAAGGGCAATCATTTAAAATACTTATAAGGGTCTTGAAATGGCTTTGGCAGCAGCAAATCTTATGCCAGCCTATCTGTCCCTTTTCAGTTGGGAAAATTTGAATGAACTGAAGTCAAAGACCCACCCTTTCTCATCAATCATCATCATTTCCAAAATGAAGTATGCTTCCGAAAACAACACTGCGAATAACTAGAGTAAATAAGTTGGTTTTTCACAGGAGGCAGTAAATACAAGTGTGGCATTGAGGAATCACTTATCTGAATTACTTTTCTTGCAAGTATGATGCAAGTACCAACATTTTAACTCTCCTATTTGTCTTTTAGTTTGACCTTAAGTGTTTCTTTGCAGCTGAAAAGGCTTTTATTTCACTTTTAAGGTGGAATGCAAGATTACAACTATGTCTGGGGACAGTGTTTTGAAATTACACTAGAGCTGTCATGCTGTAAATACCCTCCAGAAAACCAGCTGGAAAAGTTCTGGAGAGACAACAGAGTTGCTCTGATCGAATATATCAAACAAGTACACCTAGGTGGGTATGCAAATGGGGGCAGAGTGAAAACTGAGGCCAGCTTAGAGGGAACTCCTCAGCAGCCTGGGTCAGTGTCACAGCTCACAGGGGAGAGATTTGGTGTTAACTCGGGAGCTTCTGAACAAGAAGTGCTACAAAGCCAGGAATGGGTAAGGCAGGAGAACTAAGAAGCGTGTCAGGCCAGGGGCTACTACAGGTGTGCAAGGGGCTTAAAATATGCTGGGGCAGGAGCAAGGGACAAGCCTTGGGAGCTGTCTGACCATGCACTCCCCCCCTCCCCTCATTCTCCTGAGCAGCCTTGGGATAATAATTTATTTCAAAGGTCTCTAAGTGTATGTGTGCCTCAGCACTCGTGTCATGGGTCTTTGCTGCTTAGATTTTGTAAATTTGAAAGGCTTCCTAGGTGTGATCTAACTTCACATTTCGAAGAGAACTGTTGCTTAGTGAAGCTGTGGTGCTTTACAATGAGTTGAAGGGTTTGCACAAACCTGTTGCTTATCTTGCATTTTGTTGCCCTAACTGCTATTTTTTATCTCTGCTTAATAGCTGTGCTGCCTTGAAGACGGTGTGTGGGAATTAAGGGAAACTGCTTCATAAGCTGACATTGTTGGTATTCTGCCTTTGGGAAGTACTAGACAAGAGGCTGACTTATTTTAAATCACAAAAAAAAAAAAAAAAGAAGTGGGAAGGTGTGGGCGGGTGTGTGTTTGTGTGCAAAAATTGCCAAACCTGTACTGAAGATTGAAGCCCTTCAGTATAGTACGTGTGTATGATACCATCAGCAAATGAGATTTGGAAGAGGATATTGCAATACTACTTTCTAACTTAACATGAGGGTAAACTATTAACAACAACAGCCAAGGATTTTCTGGTTTAATTCCCATGAGCAAGGCCTAAATCACTAGTGAGAATGTTACATGTGCTGAAATGTGGTGATGCCTTTGAGTGCATCCAGCAACAGAACAGTCTCCCTTTCTCAGAGAAGGAGGCTCACCATTTATAGTTCATGATCTTTCCCTCCTCTCCTTTTTTCATAGGTGTCAAAGGCCAAGTTATTGATAAGAATGGGAATCCTATTCCCAATGCCATCGTGGAAGCCGAAGGAAGGTCACATGTCTGCCCGTACAGAACAAATGAACAAGGGGAGTACTTTCTTCTCCTTTTGCCTGGGACATATGTGATCAATGTGAGTATGCAGCCTTACTGAAGTATTGTTTCTAACTGCATTGAGTTCCTGAGCACAGTGAGACTGCAGCCTTAGAGGTGGGGAAGCTGAACTGCTCAAGCCATAGATAGGAGGTGTAAAGGCTCTTTAGCAGACTTTAAAAAACTATTTAAATATTAGTCAGCAGAAAGGAAATTTTTATACAGTCCTCAATGTCCAGAGATAAGCACTCCTTGGACCTTGATGGTGGAGCCAGCTGGGATGAGCGTCAGAAGCACGGCAACAGGAGCTTGAGGTGTTTGCAACAAACCACAGAGCTCTTGCAGGGTGAGAGGGTGGAACCTGGGATCTGCAGCACAGGCTGACTCCACCACAGGTGGTGTCATTTCCTTGTGTCAGAATGGTTTCTCTGTGGAAGTCCAAAGAGCATCCAGGCCCTGTAGGCTCTGCCTGCTGCAAAGGCTCATGCTTAAGCATCACTGCAGGATTCTGACTCTTGTACAGCAAGTCTTACTGCTATAACATGAAAAGCTTACTCTTTTCCCATTCCATGTTCTCAAATGTATCTTTAGAACATCTTGCCCTGTGCATTTAAAGTGTAAATATTAATTGTTTCACAGTTGAACTCAATGTTTCAAACCAAGGAAGAATTCTTGTGTTTGCTCCTAGGCTACTGTACCAGGATTTAAATCCATGCTGAAGACAGTGGAAATACCCGACAACACTGGAAACTTCAGTGCTTTGAAACAGGATTTCTCTTTCCCAGAAGTCTCAGATAAGATCACATCAAGAGTTGCTTCATGTCCCAAAATTCCCCTCTACCAAGAGCTCACACGGGCTTCAGCTGCAGTAAAACCAACCGTACATGTCTTGGTTTTAATGACCGTTATGCTTGTAATTTTCAAATAAAGTCAGGAATGACAAAGGCAAAGGCAAAATCTTCCTGCACAAATGTGGCTTTTCAGAGAAGGAACTGTATATACAAAAGAATGTATGTTTTTATAAACCAAATTCTCAGATTCACAATCATGTTTAATGTATTTTGTAAAATATTGGCTTGACAATTTAATGTTTTACTTTAGTTATAGTAGACATATATTTAATTGTAACAAACTATCATATTATTCTATGTAAATATTTTACTCTGAAGAAATTTTATACACCCTATGGAGAAAACTGTAGAATTTTGATGCAGAAAGTACAAATACATTTTGAAGACTTTTCCCAAATTCAAAAACATTGAGAATTGTACTACAATATTTCATGCAAACTCAGGCTCCTTACTGAGCCAACAGCTCAGGTGCCACACAACTGTAAGTCATCAGCTCAATACTAATTTCTCATAATAAAGCCACTGCTGTAAATGAAGAATGGCGTTTTTATATATGCTCTTCCTCACCTGGCCAGATGAGACGGCTCAGGGCTCAAATGAGGTAAAGACCAGTAACACAGACATGTTTTAAGACAAGATGATGAAAACCAAATGTGAGTATCTACCAAAGGGTTATGCTGTGGAAGCTGCACGATAATCCACACCAACAGGGGAGGAATTTGTGGCTCTAAAACCAGTGTTCTCCTACAGCAGAGCTGCTGAAAGCAATGTGGAAAGAGTCACTGACAGCTTTATACCTTGTCCATTTCTAACTGAATTTGTTGTGGCACAGAACCACATACAATTCAGAATTCTTTGAATAGTTTTAGCAATGGCTTTGTACTGTTTCAACAGCTTCACAGTCCTGCTACTCTACTGTTGGGACTGTTTAACACCCATGCCAGGAGCTGGCAGGCCCATCAGCAAGGCACCAGCCAGCTCCCGTTACAGAGGGTGCTTTCAGTCTTCCCCTGGCTACTTGTTCCCCTGCAGTTCAGTGTCTGCAGGCAGGATTAGCAGATTCCTTTTGCCTGGCCAGTTGCAAGTCATTTTCAGGGCTCTTTGAAGCTGCCCAATGAACAGAAACTTTATCAAGAAAAGCCAGTTAGTACAATCTGTTATTTTAAAGCTTTATCTGCCAGTAATTTTCCTAAGCAATTTCAAAAGTAAACCAGCGAAGATTATCTTTGGAAACATCAATCTTTTCCTGTATACAGTAAATAAAAAATGCAGGAATTCAGTTAATCCTTTTCTGAGGCATTGCTGCCTGTCACACCAAGCCCTACCAGCTGGGCTATGGAGCTTGGGCATCAGCAACTCGTCTGCCAGACGGCCACATTCAGTTTGCAAATCCACTTCAGAACTTGAAAGAGCAATGCCAATAGCAATGAGGGCTGTGTGTGCAAGAAACTGGTTTTTTTAATGTCTTCCTCATATCCATTTGCATTTTCTACCTCTTCTCACCCTGTGAGATCTGCTGTGGGTTGTTTACCACACAGAGAAGTAATTATCCACTAAATCCCATCACTGATCCTGCTACTTTTAGCAGGAAGAATGAGAGATTCCTTAAAATCTCTCAAACCAAAGAAATCTGACACAAGTCAGCAGTCCAACAGCTGACTGGTGGCAGAAAGAGCCTGTGTGCTGGCTCACAAAAGTAAGAATCTGTGTCAAAACAAAATACCAGCACTTCTAACAATCAAGTAATTGACATGGAAAAAAAAGAGCACCATGGAATATATAAACAAATCTTTATTTAAAGCTTTTAAATGGAACACAGTACTCATTTTTTGTCAGAAAAGGAAAAACAGAAAACTGAAAGATAAATGCAACACTCGTGAAACTTCTCATAAATGGGTCTATACTGTGTGCAATTGGAGTGGATACTTGCATTTTAATGGTTACTGACTGTGGTCATACATGCACTGGGTAGCTGGAAAGTAATACACCAGGTCAAGCTCCTGAAAGCATGTTGCATAGTTATTTAAATTCACTATGAACTACTCTCTTCAACAGTCATCCCAGCTATGTGTAGTCAGATAACAGAGATTCTGGTTTTAGAAAAGCCATTTAAGTGTTAAATAATCATCATCCTGACAGCCACTACTGTGGCTCAAGACCAAGAACTGTTCTTTAAAAGCAGTCTGTTAAGCTAAAACATCTACTCAAAAGGGGAGCCACCACCTTTTTAAGTATCATTTAAAAATTTCACATGTATAATATAACTATAGATACACGAAAGAAGCATTCACTTGAAGCTTTCACTGCATCTGTGCTAAAAAAAACCCTAACAAAACTCCCACACTTTAGTTAAAAGCAAGAGTTTTTCATGTTCAGTAAGTGCAATCCATCATTAAAACCTTAAGCTGGGTTTTGTGCTTTGCTTGTGCAACCTTTAAAGAACAAGATGTGCCTTGGACTCCGCTATGGAGCTGGGAAGGCAGGGCAGGGCAAAAGGAGAGGGCTGATGCTCCAGCAAGGCTCTGCTGTGTGCAGGGCCAAGGCTGCCCTACAGCCCCTCCATGACAACGCTGCCTGTCCCTGTCCAACATGCTCCTCCCCACAGGGAAGCCCCACAACAGCAAATGTCCCTTTTCAGGCCAAATGTTGCACAACAAAATGCTGTACCATCCTGGAATAAGGGGTAACTCCTGCCCCACCATATGTGTGGTAAGTTAATATGCTGAATAAATTACTTGCTTCAAAATTATAGACTCTACCTAAAGTTATACCTTAACAGAACAGCAGCCTTAGATTAAGATGGGGAAGTAAAAAAATCTTCACCCCTATTTCCATCCTATTTATTCAGTTTATTCAGTTTCATTAGGGTCTCAATAATTTTCTAATCTCTCTTTTGTAAGATACAATTTTCTGAAACAATTATTCTTGTTAACACTCTCTGTAAGAACAAGGAATTTTCTCTTCCTAAAATTAGCCATAAAAGAGAAAAAAATCTGAAAAAATCTTCATACCCACAGACACTTCAGAGACAGTGACACTTGAACAAATGTACAGCAAACCGAACTCAGTGATAAAAATCGTACCACACTCTTAGAAGGAATGTAAGCTTTTCACCAGTGAGCATTTTGAAGCACTTTTACCCTTTCTACATCATCTGCTAAGGGGAGAGGCACAGGACGGCACAGCCCACGATCCTGCTGGTGTGGGGTGAATTTCAATACTAATATAATGTCTGTACTAACAAATACGTAAACAGCTAAAGACTTGTATTTAAACAATAAGTAAGTTTAATGTACTTTCTAAAAAAGAATAAATGCAAGTTCTTGCACCATTTGTACATAACTATTGTCTACCTGATGTGCAAGAAGGAAGAGACTAAGAAAATTACAGAAAATCACATACAGTCACATTCTGTAGGCATCTGGCCTCCCCGGCAACCTTCACAGTCATGTGTCCAAAGGCAAGAGCTATTACCACCTTTGCAAATTAACCTTAAAGCCTCTCATCACCATCCTGCATCTCCTAGACCATGACCTCCAATGTTACCAGCACCTGGAAGAACCCAGTCAGCTCCCTGGCTGTACTGAGGGATTCAAAAGCATTCCAAAGGAAAGCAAAACACCACCAAAATATTTTCACTAAGCTGATGTTGGATCAGCACCATCTCTATTCAATAAATCTTGTTTAGGTCAATGCAGAAGTTTTTTTAAACATAGCCATATATCTTCCTGTGCCCTTCTCAATCTGAATATAACAGAAGTATTTATCTCAATTTTAATGCTACATTTCTTAAAATATTTTTCTTGTGCTTGTGATTTACTAAACAAGCATATCTACATAACTACACATGTAGCAGTAGACTAATTCAATAAATAGAGCTCAAAACATCAACTGTGAGCACAAGGATATTTACAAACAGCAATAAATTAAAGATTAAAATGCGTGCAATATTAAATAAGGATCTCTAAAGTTTTGTACCAAAACTTTACTGACTTTTGTGCCACTACCCAAGGCCAGGTACGTGTTTAAGAGCCAGAACAAGCAGGGTGTTCACTGCTCGTGCCAAACACTTGAGCACGGCCAGGCCAGGAGACATGGAGGCAGAGCCAAAGGCTCCAGGCCACAGCCAGGAGTGGAGTCACTGTGACACAGCCCCCGGGCACCAGGCCTGCACTTGCACTTGCCTGCCAGTGTCCCCAGCAGGAACAGGCAACAATATCCATCACTTCCATTTGGAAGGCATGCACCCACACCAACCAAACTAAAGTTGCACTAGAGGTCATTAAGAATAATATTAAGCTATAAAATATAACTCAAACCAAAATACTTGACACAGTGATTTGCAGCTGCAGACATTAAAATGCCCGCCCCATTTCCTCCCACCAGCGAGTGGAAGGTATTTCCAGGGCTACTCTCTGCAACAGAAGGCATGTGACTGGAAAAGCATGCTAGAGCGGATGGTACAATTTGTCCCAACAGGAACTAGGTAAGGACAGCTGCTCCTCCAGCACTGTAATTACACAGCCAGGGCAGCCACTGCAGAGAAGGCATCATGCTGAGAGAGGGGAAGACATGGGAGACAATGCAATGGACAAAACTTCATAAGAAGATGAAACTTGCTAGGTACAGTCCCCATGTTATTGATGCTTCTGCATATACAGATCTACAGTTCTCTCTCACCTGCAGGTGCAATGAAGAGCCTCTGCAAGCCTCACAGCACCTAAGTTTATCAAATCAAAAAAAGGAAGTGCAAAGTAAGGCAAGTAGCCCTGTTAGTATCCCTACTTGAAAAGGCTATCTGCCCAAAGGCCTTCTCTACCTCAGGCTGAAGGATTATCAAATCCTATAAAACCCATGGAAAGGTCCAATAATTTCCAGCTATCTGATGTCCCTTTACAAAGTGCAGGAGGCAAGAAACTTGCAAGTAAGAATTTGAATGAATACAACTGTGGTTTATATTTTGTTTACTTAAAATTAACTGTGTTAGAACTTTGGGTACACCAGTATCTTTTACTGGCAAAGAAATAGCTCAAATGTATGACCAAAATCAGAAAGATCCCAATAATTCAGTCTTTACCTATAGTTACCACTTTTCAACCAACTCACAGCCAAAGACTTACTAAGTCTCTCCTGTATGTCTTTATGTCCTTTTCCTGGGCGCTTCCAGGGATTTGCAGCTCTGCAGTTAAGGAGAACAGTAGGAGTCTCTATGCCAGCACACAGGCATTAGCAATTTTATACTGCTGGTGTTAGGGAAGCTGTAAGATGGTAACACAGCAGAATTCCTGCACTTGGACTGTATATCTACTCTTGGCTCTCCCCTGACTGTTTATCTGCCATTCCTTATTGGGCAGACAATAAGCAACTACGTGCAAAAATAAAAGGTTCTAAAAATATACAAGTCCTCTTGTAACAGTTATCCAAAGCAGTACGTATCACTCACTGGGTACAGAAACTCCATGTGAAAGGCAGCTGAGTGATCTTTACATCCCGGTTCCCACACTCACGCTACCTTGCCTGACGGGCCCCAGAACTGAGGCAGGCAGCAGACTCCCTGGGCACAGAACTGGTAAGTTTCACAACGTCTTTGACAAAGTACAGTGAGGAGACAAGAGCTAAAAGCAGTAAAGGACAGGTCCAACGGGACCGACTTTGAATTGGCCAAACACCTTGCAGAAGATTTTCAGAATTTTTGTGATACGGATAAGAACGGTGAGTTGGGAAGACTACCACACTTAAAAGAATGTGGACTAGAACTGCACAGCTTAATTGTTTCTGCAGATGAAGGTGATTTTTTTTTCTCTTTTTATTACAGTGAATGTAGCAATACAGCTGAATGTATTCTGCTAAGTCAGAAAGAAGTGCAGAAAACCAACTGTCCCCTAGGACTACCTGACATGACAGTTCATAGCATATACTTCATTTATCTTGTCTGCATGAGACTTGTTTCATGTTGCTAAATTAATAATAATCCTAATCAGTACAGACCTCCAAACCCACAAATGTGAATTTCTTGGGACATTTGAGAGGGAACTGTATGACTGAGCTTGGATCAATGACTTCTCAAGGGACACACAGCCCTTAAGTTCACAATGCACACCACAAAAATAAAAGACACACAATACCCTTTTCTGTTTCCAAAGTATTATTTTCTACCACATATTTCCCTACTTCCTGCTAAGATCTCCCACAAAATTTGGTTAGTTGAAAGAATTTAAGAAAAGATTCTATTTATTCATTTACTGACTTATTCAGAGGGGTCTGATTGAGCCTTATGTCTTCACCAAGCAACAAAACTGGAACTTGGATAATCATGCATTTTCTTAAATGAGGAACTTGCAGAAATAAACACTTCAACATGTCTCTCCTCCAACAATTATTGAGTCTGGGATTTTAATGAATGTATTTAATTCAATAAAACAAATGTCACTAACTTGCATGGAACATTAAAATACTTGGAGAGGCAGGTGGTTTAGAGGACCTGGTTATTTGTACTGAGAGGGATTTAAAATCTCCAAGTTGACTTATGAGTATTAGGCAAACCTCTTAATAACTCCAGTGCAGCTATGTCAGCAATTACTTTTCACACAGAATGCCAAGAGACACAAAATATTAATTTTTCAATAAGCATACAAAAATAATTTCTTACTCTCTTAACCAGTTTATCAGCTTTCTTTTGCAGCTTTCCAGTCAACACGTGTCTAACTAAAGTAAGTTAGTACAATCATTTGTATAGGCTGCCTACACACTGGGCAGGGTTTGTTCCTCTTCTTGAGCTTTTTTGCACAGGTAAAACATGACATGAGGTGTCCGGTTTTGCCGTGTACTATGCAGCCATTTTTAGGTCTGCTCTGACATATGACACACGGCTCTATGCTGGTAACAGGCAGACTGGATTCCATGCTTTCCTCTTTGTCTTGCATTTCTCTCTTCTCGAGTTCCTTGAAGTCCTCCTGACTGCTACAGAACATGCTGCTTGATGTTGATGGCTGGGAATAACCTTCACTTTCCTGGGACTCAGAAAGCTGTACTGCTTTATCCTCATTCTCATCCACAGCTGGTTCTTTATCTTCAGTCATTTGTGTTTTCTTGCAATCAGGAACATCAAAACCTTCTCCAGACTCTGCAGGAAAGGCGGTTTCTAATTTGCTCTTTTCCAATTTCTCACTCTTTTCATCTGGAAGCCAATCCTCACGAAGGGCCCAGCATCTGTGGCAATGTCGTGGAAGCGGAGGATTCATTTCATTGCATTCGGGACACTTCCAATAATCCTTTAGTGAATCAAAGGTTGGAAAAGCTTAAGCTACTTGGAACACTTACAACTGAAGTATTCAGCCATTATAAGCAATATATTACTGCCAAAATATTATGTTGAGCCATCAACTTGTTTACAATTTTAAAATTCCATTCAGCCGTTCTTATTTTTAAAGGACTCCGGCTTTCCTTCATTTTGCAGTAGGTTTGTGACTAGAACAATTCATTATTTCATAGGCAAAACTGCAGAAACCAGACCGCAAAATTCTTCAGAGGCTCTCATGAAAAACTCGTTAAAAAGGTCATAATTTCCCTTCTTTTCGACTATGGACTTGTGCAACGGGAGCCATTCAAGACTGAGGGACCCTTGCGCGGTTCGCTGCGCTGTCGGTGCACAAAGCGGCCGCGTGAGGGCGCTCCGACACAGCCGCACCAGAGAAATCATCGGCCCACGCAAAAACAGGCGGGAAGGGAAAGGAAACCATAAAAGGGCAAAAAAAAAGGTGCTGCATCAGCCTCTCAAGGGTTACTCCATGGACTACAATTAAAATAAACAACTATTTCGTTAAAAATACATTTTGCTTTTACGGACAGAGACCCTTCTTAGAAAAAATGCAAGCTGTAAGGGAAATTAAAAAGAAAAATAACCCAAAACTTATTTACACAAGTACCAAATAGCTTGTTAAAACAAATTTTAAATCCTAAAAATAATGTACAGGTCTCTATTTTCCACACATAAACACTGCTATGTTTTCAGAAGGTGGCCAGCTCTGTCTTTAACACACCAAGTCCCTCAGTCCTACAGACTATCATGGGACGGGAACACTTCACAGTTCCACAAATCAGCTTTAATTCATATTCATGCATCAAATGTGAAAAGCAAATATAAATAAGGAGATAGCACACATGAGAATTAAAATGTTGTGGGTTTTCACAAATATCTCCATACTTTGCCTCTAGACTGTCAATTTCCTACTCTTCAAGAACGGTCTCACAGAATGTAGTAGAGGCCTATTTAATTTAACAGTACTGTTCTGAAAAAAGGCTTGCCTTCACATCTGTATGTTACAGATACCGTCATTCAAGCTGGACAATAAAACTAGTTATTCTGACTCATAGGAAGTTTTTAAAATGTACATAACTAAGATTTTAATTTTTTTTCCATTTTGTGCAGAAAGTCAGATTTAGGCTCCAAATAACTTCCTTCCATTAAGTCAATGAAATGGTAAATTAGCATGGATTAATGGACTAGGAAGTTTATTAATCATTAAAAAAAACCCCCAAGTTTCCTTAATAATCACATGTTCCTTAATAATCAGTAATTAAAATATTGTATTGGAACCTTCACGCATAGAAGAAGTACATTTAATTCTTAAAAAATCACTTGTAGCAAGAGAATTCATCAATACTTCTATTCTATGCCAGTTTACCCAATTTACGATGCTTTACCAGACAACTTTTTACTCACAGCTAGGGAAATCTCTGGATCTTCATCAAACGAATCAGCATCACTATCTTCGTCCTGGTAAATCGTCAGCTGATAAACCTAGTTTAAATTTTTTAAGAATTATATATATACATATACAACTAGCTTTTGGCATTTAATAAAAACATTTTTAACCTGGTAAGATTTTCAGATAGCAAGCTACTGGAGAGTCTCCAGGGATGGGCTATTAAGATTATTAATGGATTAGAGGAGCCCTCATGTGAGGAACAGCTGAAAGAGCTGGGAATGTTCAGCCTGGAGAAGGCTCAGGGGAGGGTGCCATGTGGGTAAATACCTGAAAGGATGGCATCAAGGACACAGAGCCATGCTCTTTTCAGTGGTGTCCAGCGGCAGGAGAAGGGGCAACTAGCACAAATTAAACACAGGAGGTTCCCTCTGAATATCAGGAGACACCTTTTACTGTGAGAATGAAGGAGCACTGGCATGACTTGCCCTGAGCATCTATGAAGCCCCATCCCTGGAGATAGTCAAGACATCTGGACATGGACCCAGGCAATCAGCTCTGCCTGAGCCAGGGTGGATGGGTAAGACAACCTCCAGAGCCTCCTTTGAACACCAGTCATTCTGCAATTCCCAAAACTACTGTCTGGAGCGGGGGCACACCTCAGTCCTTTCCTCCTCCGAATTACATCCTCTCTCAGGGTGCAGCTCTGCACTACACTACAACTTGGTACACATCAGTACAGTCAGTGCCATTCAGCCTCTCAGGTACCACAATCATGTATGCCCCCGGTGAATTCTGCCTCTGGTACTCACCCAATCATGCCATGAGCTGATGAACCTCTCTAAAGTAACAGAAAGCTAGCCCAGAAAGAAAACCCCACATACATTCTCACTTCATTCCTGACATTCTAGAAATCTCTTGAAAACTGCAGTAATCCAAATTTTTCTGTCTTCTTGCCTACTAATAAAGATTCCTAACACTTTGGTTCAGCATCTCTAAGAAACATTTACATTCACAGAGGCAAAAAACTTGGACATAACCCCTTGGAAAGAGTTACTCAGAAAGGTTTCCTTTGGTATCAAGTGTTGTCAAAGCTTCTAGAATTAAAAATGCAGAAAGACTATAGTACACGTGATTCAGACTTCAACAGCTGGCGAGAGAAGTTAAGCACCCAGACTTTCCTATCCAGCCCATTTCAGAGCCTGCAGAAAGCCTCGGCACTGTTTCAGTCACTGGCTGCTGGGCTGTATAAGGGTGACTCAACTGCACTGACACATAATTTGATTTAATGAACAACTGGGTACAGATTGTGACACCAGCACATGCAGTTCCAAAATATACCTGAAGAGTTCTCCTTGGAAACTTACAAGAATTTTTCATGTTGAAAATCCTTTTCCTTCTCATCCCCCTCCCCCCAGGGTCAAACAAGGAAAGCAGATAGTACCTCATCATCTTCATCAGTGAGCTCCTGCCCTTCTTCATTATGGCTATAATCTTCAGAATAAATAGACTCAACTTCAAACTCAACACTGAACTGGTCTGATACAGAACCGTGGTCAAACCAATCCGAGTTTTCACTTAATGAACTAGCATCAAGATCCTGAAGAAAACAAAAAAAGAAAGCACACATTCAACCTCACTAGTCCATAGACATACCACTACTGATAAAACAACTCTCAGGATAAAACTGCACTACTCAGTATAATTAGCTATGGAAGAAAAAGGACCAGCTGCTGTGAGACACATACTTTTTATGAGATAAATTATAGGTGGGTAAAAATAAAGTTAGGTCTGGAAGCCTTTTGTTGGCTCTGTAATAAGAAACTGCACTCAGCCTACGGGCAGCTGAAAGGCTGCAGTAATTATTTCAGAAAGTCCCTCCTAAAAAGTGAAAGAACAGATGCAAGAAGATGGTATCTTTTGGCTGCATGTCATTAAATTCTCTATTCTCATAAACTTTGTGTAATCTGAGACCATGGCTAACAATTACAAAATAGGAAGACTGAAAACACAGTATAAGTTCTGTCAATTTGGAACACCATATGTGACTAGGAATACTGTTAGTTCAGCTCTTCATGACTTAATCGAACCACAGATTTGCCCTATTGTTTGCTAAAAACAATAGAAAACTTCCAAGTAGTGGCATAACAAATTAATACAATGCACCATCAGCATCCATTCCACTTGGTACAGTTACCAAAGCTGTACCAGAACTAACAACTAACTCTGAATGATGGAATGACTTTTTTGTCTCTTAGCACTCTAAGAAATACTTATTTTAAAACACAAAATATGTCTGACATTTTTCCATACTGTGCCAAGCAGTGAGGATCTTGGTTTTTAAAGAATATTCAACATTAATATTTAAAAAAAATTCACTTCAGCTTTGCCAGCAGACCTATGAAAAACCCCACTCCACCCACACACCTACTTTTCTTTCAACCTCTTTTCTTTCCTCAGATACCACTGCAGGCACTCCCGCTTTTAATTAAGAACCTTGTGTTTTCAGATGCATGTTTGCACTTGTGTCATCTGCAAAATTTGTACCACAAAAATACTTTTCTATTTTGACTTACAGGAATGGAAAGAGAATCTGTTGAATCACTGCTATTGCTTCTTTCACGGCACAGACCACTGACTACACACCATGAGAGACTTTCATCAAACGTCACCGAAATGTTCTCTGACTTGTGTCGCTTTCTTCTCTCGCTATGCAGATCATCTGAAGAATTTTTTTCTGGGCATAGTCAAGAATTTTTTATTACTCAAAAACATCTATGCAATGTGCACTTTTGAATTTTCTAAACAGAAGCTTAAAATACAATTTACTACAAAGAAATCTAATAAAGTAAAATATAACAGTATTTTTTTAATGGGGCAAAAAGGCACTAAGACTTATTTTAAAAAACACAATAACTCTCATATCCATACAGTGTGAAACATTTTGTAAGCCATTACTTCAGGGCTGGCTTTCCCCACTTGTCTCATCGATAGAGCTTTTGAGTGGCAGTATCCACATGGAAAACAATTGCAAATTTGAAAGAATTATTATTACTCCACACACGACATGTTAAACCTTCCTAATTTAAAGAAATAGAATTAAAATCTTACTTGTCCTCACTCCCTCTACAGGCAACAGACAGAAAGGCACTTTCAGAGGGCTTCTGAGTCTACCCCAGAATTTGTAGAGAGATAGAGCAATTAGCTGCCAATTCACATGCATACAAGAACACCTTGTGCTAAGCAAGGTAAGTTCAGGTTCAAGTTTCAGACACCTCAACATATTTATCAGGGAATAGTTGCACTATATGTACTCCCCAACAGGATTTTTGTAACAAACTATTAGAACTTTCATCACATTCTAGCAAGAAAATCTTCAAACATACTACGCAAAAGCTGAACTCTGAAAGCATTGCTTTAAGTTCTGCATACTAAGCATGCTTGGTTTGAGGACAAAAAGACAATGCTTTGTAATTACATTGTGTTTTGGAACAATCACCCACAGCAGTGCAAGGACTAAGGGCACAGCATTTTAGCAGTAGGTAAGTCAAAATTCAGTTCCATTGACTTCTAGAGCATTTGGTTTACAATTTTATATAAAAACGTGTTGCAAATTCAGCATGTCAGTACAGCAGAGTGAAAACCTCCCAAGATGCTAACAACTATTCAACAGGCCTCAGTATGAGCCTGCTACAGGTGCCTTTTGCACCCACCCTCTGCTGCCCACCATCTCCCTTGCCTTGCAAATCACACTGTGATAATCCTCAAGTCTTCAGGTCTTGAATCTTTCATTGTTAAAAAAAACAACAACAAAAAAAGGAGAACAAAACACTTGTACATACTTTGAGACTTCTCTTACTCTCCCTTGGTGCTTCTTGGCTCAGCCCCTTTCTTTTCTTTTTTCCGCCCTGAGAGCCCCACCAAACTTGGTGCCCCCAGGCCCAAAGGTTGCTCCTGTCCATCGTTGTCCTCATTTAGTTGTCATGGCTCCATGCCGTAATGATACTGTATCACCACAAGGTCTCTACACACTATTTAAGTGGCTCCAAAGGAGCCGCTACTGTCCCAATTTAACAATAATAGTGGTTTAAAGGGAAGATTTCCTATAAATTAGAAAAAAAGTGTATATAAAAACACTATATTAAAAGAACTCTTAAGGTTGTAACAAACTAATAAATGGATGCAAGGCAAGAGTTAATAATCAAACCTACAATAAGTAAGCATAACCCAGAACCTTATGTGCTCTGTGTCATGCCGAAATATTACAGGTTGTGATGTTTAACCATGACTTTCCATCCTTTCATCAGTTTTAGTTACAACATTAAAATGTTCTTTTAATTTAGTGCAAACCGCTTAGCAACGCAGCACTGGTTTGGGACTAACTTAACGTACACAGTGGCCTATGAGGGACACAAAAAACACTACTTGAAAGCTGAGGAACTGAAAAATGCTCCCAAGCAAGTGAAGAAAAGGAAGTTCTACGCAGTGACATTAAGTTATCACTGCCTGGGTAAGTGCAACCACCAAGTCCAAGTCAAGAGGCAAGACAGTAAGTGATGGAACAAACTAATGTAAGAAATTTCACAGAATAATATTTACCTAACTGTAGAGAACACTTTCATTGAGAAACTAAACTAGGTTTACACTGACCAGATTGTTATTGCTACTTATCAGAAGAAACATTTTGTGTTTTGAAAATGTATTTTCCAGTGATTATTGAATAACCACAGTAAAGACAAAGGGGAGGCAAATATGATGCTTAGGTCACCAGATGTTTTAACAAGTGCTTAATGAATGGTGAGGTACCTGAATATATCCAAAATCATCCTGTGTTACTACCACACCTTTGATGCCTCCCACCAGTTGAAATCCAAAGAAAACTGGCTTTCATGAACAAACAACATGTCAAATTTTGTGGCTGTCTACAGAGAGAATTGAAATGAATTTGATGGTATCAGTAGATTACAAACAAGTGTTCTCATCATGAAGATAACGCAACTGATAAAGTCTTGCTGATATGAAAAAGTTTAACAGAGCTGTGGAGTAAGTTATTCCATCATCTTACTAACAATTCTAGACATTCAAACTGTAACATGACACTGGAGCAATGCAAGGAATTGTGTTTTTCTTTCAGACTGAACATTTTGTTTTAGGTAAGCAGAGAAACATGAGTAGTATTTGCCAGCATCTTTCGAGTCAGCAAGGCAAGAAAATGTAGCTTTTCCCTCCAAGTGGCCATGCTACTGAAAGCTCTGCATCATAAATTTGCAGATACCAGATTCACTGTGTGTCCTCCTCCTAGAAGATGTAGTTGGTTGGGAAGTCACATTTGATGAAGTCTGCCTCTCTTCTAACTCTTGCCTAGACTCCTGAAAACAGAAATACTGAGTAAGCCTGAGCATAAATATGAGATAAAATGCAAGAATCAACTTACTACATTAAACCATTGACACTATAATGCAAAACTGAATAGAATGTGCAACTCAAAAAATTTTTCAAATAAAATAAAAACAGCACCTTTATAACATCCTCTTCTTCAAGCTGAGATGTGGCATCATCCTCAGGTGTGTCACCAAGGGTAGACTCTGAAACCAAACCAAAATAAAACCCATAATACCATATAGCAGAAAAAGTCAATTTCAGGCTGAAAAAGTAAATTATACGTAATATTTAAAATCCAGACATTTTGCAACAATGGGAAAAACACACTGTTCCTTTGTTTTTCAGGAGTGTGCAGCACCTTCCCTGTAACATTACTCAAGTGGAAATGTGGGAGAAAGAAGCAATGTCAACTGAAAGCTGCTCAGAATTCTGTTATAAATGGCTTCATATGAAGTCTGTGTATAAAACTCTGATTCTGCAGACATGAAAGAATATAAGCAGGAAATGTAATTAATTGCTCCTCCCCAAATTGCTTTTTAGTTCTTATCTTATGGGACCCCTGAGTTAAAAAGACATACAATAGAAGAAAAATTAGCTGTTGTTAATGATATATGCTTACTAACAGACAGATCCTAAATTAAGAAAGAGTGTTCCATGAAAAAAGAATTGGAAGATACATTTTAAGTTTGCAAGCTTAACAATGGGGATGACAAAGAGAGCATGTTTCCCATCTTCAGCAGCTGAACACTTGCCTTTAGGAAAAATCAGAAACAAAGGGTGTCTTTATACAGATTTAGAGGTCAATTTACAAAATGGCTTCCATTGTTTAACTTCTGTTTCGTATCCTATGTTAGGCAAAAATTACAGATATACTGAGCACTTTTTATACTGTGCAGGACTGTGTATAACAATTCTGCATTTAAGGAGTGGCTATCCACAGCATCACCACAAAGGTACTTAAAAGTACACAGCCCCTTTAAAAAAGGGCTGAGTATAGCTAAGAACGACCAGTTCTAAATGCACTTCACATTCAGTTGTGAAAATTAAAACAGAACTTTAATATTAATATTGAGGGCTTTATCAGTAATAAATACAAGCAAATGACTTAAGTTTGTAATTTAGAAGTCTTTTTATTCAGCTTTGTGTTTTTTCTGGTTCTAGTCCAATAAAATTACCAAATATTTTTCTCCTCCTGAGGAAACAAGTTTGCTTTTATTCACCATTTGTGATTGCTCTGGACTATAGTCAGCAAAGCCAAATAGCTAATAATGGAGAGCTCGCTGTTATCTGATCACTACCTGCAAGATTCATGATGTAAATTCTATTTTCTCTACTGCTGTTTCCCAAACAAATCACCCTCCTAAACTAGCTTACCTTGTTGATTGATTGCTATCAGATTTCTGGAAATCATTGAATATAGTTTCCTTAAATAAGGATAAAGAAAGAGATGATACAAGTTAGCTACATGCAACCATAAAAGAGAGCTTACCATCTTTGAAGACATGAGGAGTTAAAAAAGGGACATATGCATGATGTTCTTCATTATTTCCCAACCAGACTCTCAGAAAAGAATCCCATTTTACCTGTGTTCTTTTACTGAAAAGCTTGTTACTCCAAATAAATCCCCCAGGAGATCATTTGCACAGTGCACAATATGCTGCTGTTTTTCATCATATAATTGCTTAGACATAATATATTGTCCAATATAGAATATTACCTGTGAAATAAATTAAATACAAATGTTAAATATCCAGCTTGTTTCTTAAAGTGTAAGAGACAAAACATATTAAAATACATTGAAATTTACTCTTCAAACTCTGCCTAAAACTCTCTTTGAGCCAACAGATTTTCATCTATCATTCCAGAAGAACACTACTATTCTACTGACCACCAGAAACTTTTGTTCAGATTTTTGAGAAACTTGCTAAATGCCCAGTCAGTAGGAGAATAAACATTGTCTTATTTCAATTTCTAGATAAGCTATGAACAACACTGCCCCCCCCCCATTTACCCAACCTAAAATATCTGTACGCACTGTAGTCTACCTTTAGTGGTTAAAAATTCTCACCTCCTTCATAGTAAAAGTGTCCTTTTCAGCACCAGCTAACTTTAACAATTTCAACAATAGTGGCTTTGGTTTAACCTGTGTGTGGAAGGAGAAAAACAATATGCACTAATTATTCACCAAAAAAACCATTTATTTAGACTGGCTGTCCTCCTCCTTTTGTATTAATCTGATATGCAAACATACAACTGCATTAAAAACCTATCTTCATTCAAGTTTTTAACTTTGTAAAGTTCAAACTTAAAAGCAAATAATATGAACTAAATCATACTAAATTTCTCATACACTGTACATCTTAGCTCAAACCCCAGTCTTTCATTGTCCCCTGGTTTCAGCTGGGATAGTTAATTTTCTTCCTAGTAGCTCAAAAGTGCCGTGTTTTTGATTTAGAGAGAGAATAATGTTCACAACACACTGATGTTTCTATTGTTGCTAAGTAGCTACACAAAATCAAGGACTTTTCAGTGTCCCACGCTCTGCCAGTGAGGATGTGCACAACAAGCCATGAGGGACCATAGTCACCACTGCTGACCTGAACTGGCCAAGGGGATATCCATACCACAGAATGTCAGGCCTAGTGTTATGAACAGGGGAGTTGGCCAGGAGGTGCTGACTGATGCTTGGGGATGGGCTGGGCATCCACCAGCAGTGGTAAGCAACTGCACTGTGCAACACTTGTCTTCCTTGGATTTAACTACTCTCCCTTTTCTTTACTATTACTCTTATACTTCAGTAATTAACCTAACAGATTTTGCCTTTTTTCATGATGCCTCTATCCCACTGCAGAGGGGGCTGGGAGGCAGGGAACAAGGTGCTCCATGCTACTTAGTTGGCAGCTGGAGTTAAACCTCAACACATTGGTAAATACAAATTCCTTAATTGGAGCTACAGAATTTGTTTATTAGTTTTAAGTCCAGGGCTAGGTCCTGGGGAACTCATCTTCACTCCTTTAACCATTACCACAGCTCCCAAAGGGGAGGGAGGATGGAAACAGATCTCTGTGACTGTTAGTCCAGAATGCAAGTCATAAAACACTGGTCCACCTCTTTGTTAGTCTCTTTCTGTGACAGTTTCTGGGGTTTTGGTATTGCATTTGCCAGCTGGGCTGCTTTACCTCTGAAGACTTTTCTAAGCTGGGACAAGCACACCCTGTCCCTTCCACCACACTTCACTAACTCCCACCTCTGCAATGGCCTCCCACCCACCCACCATGCCAGCAGTTTAATCTGCAGTCAGTCTATGACGAGGAAGGAAATGTTAAATAAGAAAAATAACTTCCCCCATGCATACAAACTGGACTGTTCCACACAGCTGTGCCAGCACCAGTGCAGCAGATGAGAACAAGCTGCAGGGGCTGCCACAACAGCAAAGCCTGTGGAGCCACTGATGCTACCAGTGCAGTACATTCTAGTGTCACCTCTTTAACAATCGCATAACCATTCTAAAACCAGGCTAATACTTAGCTATCCTGATATATTAGATAAAATAAAATGTAAAAAATAAACACAGAAAGTAAAAGAAAAGAACAACACATCAAAACAAAACAGGGAAGTGTGAATAAAATATCATGAGACAAGCAATAAATGTTTGAGGGAAGGGTGGAGAAGGGGAACTACCCTTCACTCCATTCCAAAGATCTGCTAAAACCAGCCCAAGTTTCAGTGAGTTAACAAGATATTAGCTGCAAGAATTACACATAATGAAAAAAATAACTAAGCTTGTGGACAACCTTAGCTGTCCATTCACCCCCTCCCAAGAAGTAAATTATTTAGAACATGTGGCATATATATTAGTTTCATAAAGGAAGCAAGCAACAACTTATCCAAGTACTACTGACAGCTAAGCACAGCAAGGCAGTTTCAAAACTCTGAATCCACTACTACGCCCACTTTTACTCCTCAGCCCTCTCCACCTAACTCATCCAAGTTCTGCAGCCTTGCAGATCTGACAGAAGACAGTAATATCACAATATGATGATGTAAAAAAAAAAAGACACAAATGAAAGAAATCAATTTTGAACAGTCTGCTGTTCTACAATTTCACTTTTTTGAAGTTCTACTGTCAAGTCCACACTTTTAAGCTTTACCCTTCTAGACAATATAATCCAGTTCAACCATCATTGTACATATGCAGTTTTCTAACTCGCATTTCAGGTGCAAAAGGCTTCAATCCTGAGGAAAACTAAGGACAAAACTGCAGAACTGTCACTGTATCATGGAAAGCCTGAAAATGCAAAGCCATAAACACAAATGAAGACTCTTCTTACAACCTTCTTACGAATTCCAATAGGAGAAAGTCGAAAATCTTCAGATTATTTCACCCAACAGTATGTTTTGTATGATAGAGATTGTGCAAAGCTCTTATGATCTGTTAACAATTACCACCTGAAATACTTACCACTATCAAACCGGATCATAGGATCCTTTCTATTAAAATAAACCAAAAAACAGCAAACGTCTCCAGGAAACAGTCCAGACCTATACCATCACCCTGTACTCTCAATTATGATGAAGATTTGCTTCTTACAGAACCAAAGAGAGACCACCTTCACCGGCTGGACCTCCTGGCTTTTCCCCAAGCATCGCTCGCTAAGCACAGTGATTCTTCTGAATTAGCCACTAAAAACTCTGCAAAAAGCATACAAAAAAAAAAACCACGCGCCCAACAGCTACTGACCAGCGCCTCTTGCTCCGAAGCGGTGACAGAGGAGGCATCCGAAAGGGAGGACATCTTGGTATTGCACATTTGCCTGCAGTGAAGGGGAGAACAACCTCAGAGCGCGGCACGCAGCGACACAGCCCGGGCGGGCGGCAGCCGCCACGCCGGCGGGGCCCACTCACCTCGGTGCCTCATCCAGCCCACACGCTGGACTCCGGCGGCGGTGTCTGTGCCGAGCCGGGCCGAGCCTGGCCTTATATAGCGCTGCCGAGAGCAGGCAAGTCAGGGCTTAGCTCCCGCGCCGGCCCGGCCCGGCCCGACATGCCTGAGCATGACCCGCAGCGCCGCCGCCGAGTCACCGCGGGGCGCGGCGGGCCCGCCGCTGACTCACCGCGGCCGCCGAGCGGGGGGGTCCGGCGGCCCGCAGAGACGGCGCCGTGGAGGAACCGCGGAGGAACCGCGGAGATACAGCGGCGTCCCCGCACCCCGCACCCACCCGCCCGGCGCGGCCCGCCCTGCCGCGTTCCCCCGGCGGGAGCCCCTCCCCCAACACCGAGGGCCGCCCGAGAGACCAGCGAGACCCCCGGCGCCCCCTCGGCCCCCGAGCGAGCCGCGATCGACCCCCACGCACCGCCAGCCACGCCCGCTGCGCCGCCCGGCCCGCGGCGGCCGGAGCGCCGGGACCGCGGGGCCCGGCCCGGAGCCTCTACCGCGGCCCCGCCGCGCCGCGCGCGCCCGCCGCCATGTTGGCGCTGCAGCGCCCCCTGAGGCGGGCGGCGGGAGCGGCGCGCAGGGAGAGGCCCCGCGGCCGCGCCCCTGCCACGGCACGGCACGGCCCGGCACGGCCCGGCAGCGCCGCCGGGAACCAGCTCCGCTTCAGCGGCCGCTCATGCCTTCCCAGTTGTGGTTTTCAGAGATGTTGGAGAAAACTCCGCATCCAAAGATAATTGGATGTTGTCGTCCTATGCCCTTGGCATCTCCCGTTCTCTCAATCTTTTAAATGTAGGGCGTTTGGAAGTATGTTACTCTCACAGGTACTTATTAGCTGCTACACTTCAACTCGAACTGGTTAGGCTTTAGTCTGCCTGCCTTTTCTAGTTCTCAGGTTTTTTTCTTTTCCCATGGTGACATTTTGAAATTATTTTTGAATAATGAAAAACTTTGTCAGAGAACATGAGTGCTGCAGACAGTTTAAAGATAGGCTAGAGCAGAGGGAGTCCAATGCTACTTTTCCATGACAACTAACTTGTCCAAACAAGCAGTGGATAACTGCCTGGACTTGTCTGTTGGTCAAATACAGCTTCTCAGCAACCACAGCACTTGTAAAAATTCCAGCAACCGTTTAAATCTAGACATTTGTTTGATGATGGATTTTCAGGATGACCTTGTTATCTTTCTAGGCCATAAAGCTCAAGGTCTAGTGAGGGACAACAGAGAAACTGACAGAATTTTGCAAAGCCTGTTCACCTCTTTTTAGTGCTGGGATTTCAAGACAAACAAGACACTTGAAGAAATCTGTTTCTAGTGGAGTCAAGAACGTCCTGCAGCAGGCAAAGTCAGATATCTGCTCTTTTCCACCCAGCACCCCAATTCCAATCAGCCAGCTAATTTCATTGTTAGGAGAAAACTCCATCTACACAAAAATGCAAGAGGATGGAAATGAATGGCTACTAAACAGCTCAACTACTGATGCTCAATCTTGTCCTCATGCAGACTACCCAAAAACTATTTAATTCCAATGCAAAATGTATTTTACTGAACTAAAATCAAACCAAACACAACTGTTCGTGTAGGTGTCACCAAGCTATCATATTATTGATGCTCGTCTTAAGCACAGTATCATTTTGCTATGGCTGTGTAGAAATTAAAGAGCTTTTTAAAATTAGCAATACATTTTCTGCAGTCCAAGACTTGCCAGACTCATAACTACGACTTTCTTTTTCCACTTCTCTACCAATAAGCATCTTGTGACCAATGACTTTGAGTGTGAGATTATTTAAATAATAATTTCCCTTACTAATTCATTAACAGCTAAGGATAAAAAAACCCCAACAGTTTCTGTCTAGATTTTTTATCAGTCTTCAAGGACAATCTTATCTCTTTTCCTCCAACAGACTAATCTTGAGTTAAGGGAGATTGCAAGTTGGTAAAATTTGCTGTCTGTGCTAGCTTAAGGAAAGAGGGGGATATTTGCTGATATGCAGCACTGCAACACTTGTTTGTCACTAATGCAGTTAGTGTTGCTATGTGATCAACATACAGCATTATTTTCTTGTGCTTGATAATTCAGGACAAGTATAATTAAAAAGTTTTACTTGAAGGATGAATAATAAGCTTCTGTAGTTACGACAGCTGACTTCTCCATTATTTTAGGGTTGTAAAAAGAAAAGGAGATGTCACTACACCTGTCTACTTTACTTATAATGCTACAGAAAATATCTGGAGCAGTTAAGGCCCAGCTGCCTTAACTGGAGATACTCACTTTACATTGTGGTTAACTAACATTGTATTAAACCCTTTTTAATATAAATTCAGATTCTAGACATTTCACTGTTTAATGCTTACAAGCTAAATTATTTCCTGAGATGGATCTGGTCTACCTATAGACACATGTGCCAGAGGAAGGGCGGGTTCCTATGCTGCAGGAGTGCCCAACTCAAGTGAAGAGACAGACCATTAAACACTTCAATTTTTTATTTTTGTTACTCACTGTAATTTTTTTTCCCCCAACATGTCCTACTTACTCTTTCCTGGTAGCTGCCTATTCAGCATCTAGCACATACACAATATGGTCCTTGCCAGATGCTGATTGGTGGCCAGGGTTTGTCCGGTCTCATCTCCAAGTCATTTGCTCCTAATCAGATAGAATAATCTCATACTGTCTATTAACTGCTCCCAGACAAAAAAATAAATAAATTCAGAGCAACCCTCCAGGGCTTTGCACTGTGCTGATGTATCCTTTCTGAAGCCTTAGGCTGCATCTCTATTACTGTGACATAAAGCTGGGATCCGTTGTGTGCTGCAGATTGTCAGGCACCTCAAGGTAAAACGACAAAGGAAGAAAGATGCTGAAATGCAGCTGGAGCATGTGTTGCTTAATGTGGCTTTCTGCCAGGGCTGCCTGCTGCAGCTGTGACCCCTCGTGCCAGACAGTGGGTCAGTACAATTCTGTACAAATACAAGAGGAAGAATTTTGTTGCTTTCTTGAAACGCCTGTTTTGTACAAAAAAAGCACAATGATAAGAAATCCTCATACCAGTAATAGCATATTTGGAAATATTATATTTCATAATCTAACACCTATCCCAATGGAGAGGTCTGTCAGTATGTCCACCAGAAATTCGTACTAGAAATGACACTCAAGTTCTACTAAGTGAAAAGCAGATGCAGCCTTCCTGGGAGCAAGTTTGGACAGACAGGCAGGAATCAAGAGCACAGCTTATAGCAGCAGTGGGCATCCAAAAACCATATGCAGTGGTGTTGCAGTGGTTTAACAAGGAACACTAAACTGTCCTTGCTGTCCAGCTTGTGTTTTCATGTTGTGCAGGAGCCATGTTTGAGCTTCAGGGCTGCACTGCCCACCCCAACAACCCCAGTTACTCTGCAGGCTGGGTGGCATGGCAGGCGTTCTGCAGCTTCACTGGGGTGCACATCCCGGGCTGTGGTGTCTTATCACAGAATCACAGAATATTCTGATTTGGAAGGGAACTGAAAAGGATCATCAAAGTCCAGCTCCTGGCCCTGCACTGGACACCTCTGAGAATCACACTGTGTACCATGTGGGTGCTTTGGATACGTGATCATCAGTTTCCTACATTTCCATAACTTCAGATGTTTATTTTGAAAAATGTAAAAATACTTCAGGTGTACTAGAAAAGAGGGTCTCAATTTTTTTTTTTTTTCCTGGCAGATGTTCATGAGCTCTTACCTCCCTCCCTGAGGTATGAAATACAAAGTTGTCTTTCATGTCAGGTAAATAAAGGCAACCTGTGTAATTGTGATTGTGAAATGTGTGGAACACGACCATGGGACACTTATAAAGATGAGTTCTAATAAACAACTGAGGAAAGCATGGAAGAAAGCTTTTGAACCAATCTTTTGTTTGCAAATAACAATTTTAAGTCTTAAGCTGTTTTGCAATAAGAACTTTTGAATTAAAACTTTAGAGTGTTGCTTAGTACTAAGGATTTTAAACTGTAGCTTTAAGAATATATAAAGGATTTAAACAGAAAGGGAAGTGACCTTATCCCAAGCTTCTGGAGAAGGAAGATGGACCAGGGTTGCTGATGAATGATTTCGAAAGGGGAAGATGGACATCACTACCATAGATTAATGATCCTAGAAAATAGAAGCTGGACCCCACCATCTGGACACACATCCTGGGATGTACATCCTAGGATATTGAAACCTGGAATAGATCACAATAGAGTATAGAAATTGGAAAGGAACCAGACATCACCATCATAGATTTACGATTCTAAAGTATAGAATTGTGGCGTTAAAAGGTAGAAATAGAAACTGCCAAAAGTTCATGTAAAAATTGGGAAACAGAAACTGCAGAAAGCTCATGTAAAAATGGGAAATAGAAACTACTGGGAAAAGCTTATGAATATGCATGAATATCATCAATAAATACCAGCAAGCCCAACAATCAGTGTGCAGTTGGAGGGGAAAACCCCCACCACTGTACCCAGCGCTGTCTTTGCTCATACATTACAATATTAATTAATAAATTGAATTGCTGCTTGATATATTGGCTGACTCAAGCTTCTCATTTCTAACACAGGCACTCAGTCCAGGCATGTCTGTTCTCGAGTACGTTAACTACAGCTGCTTCAAAACCACCTGGAGGTGGAATAATCCCACATCAGAAAACAGCAGCTCTTCTACTTTTGTTTAATTGGTGTATTTATTCCTTCATCCATCTGGGAGACATTGGTAATTTTCTGCCCAAATCTGATTCCTATTTAGTAGCAGTGCAGTTAGCCACAAGCACAATTAAACAAAGAATAGTGTATACTTTGAAGGGAAGCCAAGTGGCAAAAATATAAACCAATTATTTTGAACTTCTGCTCAATATATAACACAGAATGAAAGGGTTGGGTCTTTTTTCCCACTCTAGTCTTCTGTTTAGTCCTCACTTTTGAAAAAAGCTCATGGAACAATTTTAAAGAACTAAAAGGGAGAAATCTCAGGAAAAGACTCCTCTTGCTGTCAAATAGTTTTTGTTAAGCACATCATTGAGTGAAAAAACAGGCTTTTCTTCTTAAGAAGGGGTGAAGTATGTGACTAGGTTGTGACCAAATCCTGCTTTACTAAACTGTGAAA